CCTCCCAAGTAGTTGGGACTACAGGTGCCCGCTATCACTCCTGCCTAATTTTTCTATTTTTAGTAGAAACAGAGTCTTGGTCATGCTCAGGATGGTCTCTAACTTCTGAGCTCAAGCAATTCACCTGACACAGCCTCCCAGAGTGCTAGGATTATAGGCTTGAGCCATCGTGCCTTGCCCCCGTAGTAGTATCTTTAAAGTAAAAATCTGAAAATCTGAACTCACATGGCTGTTGCCCTGTTGAGTTATTTGGCTAGTCCCAAACCAGTCATATCACACACAGATTTCTGTCTTCCAATTTGGCTCTATTTCTTTATTTCTTTTTATTTTTTTGAGACAGAGTCTCAAGCTGTCACCCTGGGTAGAATGCTGTGGCATCACAGCTCACAGCAACCTCAAACTCTTGGGCTTAAGTGATTCTCTTGCCTTAGCCTCCCAAGCAGCTGGGACTATAGGCACCTACCACAATGCCACGGCTATTTTTGTTGTTGTTGTTGAAATTGTCATTGTTATTTTAGCTGGCGCAGGCCGGGTTCAAACCTGTCAGCCTTGGTATATGTGGCTGGCGCCCTACCCACTGAGCTATGGGCACTGCCCTTGGCTCAATTTCCTGAGTCAAAATTATAAATCTTTGTTTGGAGACTTACAAGCTTCAGCTCCATATATTTCCTTATGGTTTAGCAGAGGCAGCTCTAGATTTGGAATTAAGGGAGTCCCAAAGAAATTCCTCTACTTAACAGCTCTAAGATATTGAGGAATTGCTTAATTTTGCAGAAGCTCATTTTTCCCATCTGTATAATGGGATAATAATAGATACTGTATTTCAGGATTCTGGGGAAGACTACCTGTGTTCTATATTTTTAACTGAAGCTCTACTTACTCTAACTCTCTATGTGTTTTCCTTTCAGGCTTTCACCATTACCTCTGAATGTTCTCATCTTTTCCTTTGGCTTCTCATTTTTCTTGTCTCCGGTTCTCTGTCCCTTTGCTTTTCTAATTAATGCATTCATTTTTCATCCACTCTATCATATTTGAATAAAAATGTTGGCATCCTGACAGTTGATGTCAGACTTGTTGGCGGTAGGGAGACTATTTTGGTGTCCCCAGGAGTCAAAGCAACCAGAGAAGCAGCCAAGTTGCTGAACTGGAACGGAACAGGGGAAAGGAGGAAAGTGAGGAAGGGGAGTGTGGGAGAGGGGAAATCAGTGAGCAAGACAGGAGCCTGCAGGGGTGAGATGAGCAATGGACACCATCCCTGGGTGGGGCGGGGTGGTGGGAGGCAGGTGCACATAGAATCAGGGGTGTCTACTATTCTACTGTGTGTTGTCTGGTTACTGCCACATAAATTCTACCATGTCTTGGGTAAAGCTTACCACCCCCAGGAACAGGGTTTGGGGAAATCACAGAAAAGTGCTGACTGAGTCCAGATTGTGATGTTTATGGAGGGCACAGGGACTGCAAGTAATGAACAAATTCATTGGAAACCAGACATGACCATGACAAAGTAGTGCCCCTGGGAATTTGCCAACATCTTGGTGAGGGCTCTGGATGCCCACTGGAGATAGGGTGGGGATTTGAGCCAATCTTGCCAGTTTCAAAAGGGGTGGTGACTCCTGCTGACATCAGGACATCCATTTTATTTTGTTTACTTATGTATGTATGTATGTATGTATGTATGTAGGTATTTAGGGACTGTCTCCCTGTGGTTGTCCAGGCTAGACTGCTCTGGCATCAGCCTAGCTCACAGTAGCCTCAAACTCCTGGGCTAAATGATCCTCCTGTCTCAGCCTCCCAAGTAACTGGGATTACAGGTGCCCACCACAACGCCCGGCTAGTTCTTTTATTTTTAGTAGAGATGGGATCTTGCTCTTGTTCAGGCTGGTCTTAAACCTCTGAACAGCCTGAGCTCAAGCAATCTATCTGCCTCAGCCTCCCAGAGTTCTAGGATTACAGGGCTGAGCTACTGTGTCTGGCCTAGATATTCATTTTAAAACATAACATATGTCACATGCCAGTCATGTACTTTTTGGACTTGGGTCCTGGCTAAAGAAAGCCTATCACACAGGAGGAGTCTGACACATATTTGTTGAGTAAATTGATTTTCGTTTTTCCTGCCAGTACTTTGTCATCCTTTGCTCATCTCTAACCCCATATTTTGCGTGACCCCAGAAATAGCTATTTCTAAGTGTTCTCTAGAGTTTCCTCAGCAAGAACCAATTTCCTCGCATATTTTCTTCCCGTGCTGTTTGTGGACCCCCGGCAGCCTTGTGTTCACTTTGTTCCCTCCTTCAGCCTGAGAGTGGTCTTCGTATTCTGGTCTCCAGGGTCCCACCGCCCACTGTGTTCTCAGCTTTCCCAGCGAGGGTTACGGTTACAGTCGGCTGTGGGTTGTCCCTTTGTTTCTTTGTTTGGGCTCTTGTGGCTAGCGTAGCAATGCTTTCCTTTATAGTGAAAGATTCTTGGATGGCTTACATAAATATTCCCTTTCGTTCCCAATTTGTGAAAATTCAGTTTACAGAGAGACAGAGTGAGGGTGGGAAAGAGAGAAAGAGAGAGAGAGAGAGACACGGAGAATATGCACATAGGCTTCCACATTTTATTTCTATATCAAATTATATGATATCTGGAATTAACCTTAACAAATCCAGAAGGAGAAAGGGAAGAGGGAAAAGAAGTAGGGGCTGGTGCTATGGCGAGCACAGATGTGCTCGCTGTTGACGCTCTGTGATGGGTACTTGAGAGTTCAATGTCATCATATTCACTCAACCTTTGCGTGTGTTTGGAAATCTCATAATAACAAGCTTAGGTAAAGTCTGTTGTGAGTGATCTGCACATAGCTTATTGATCTCCACAGCCAGCACCTTTTCCTGATTGCACATGACCCTCAGGTGATTTGTCATCTGGGTCTTTAGCATGTCCCCCAACCCCCAGCTGTACCTAAATGCTTTGCTCCCAGAGGTCCTGGTGGGCAAGGGCGTGTCTTCCTCTTCTTTATGTCCCACTAGTGTAGAGTCTGTTGAGCTGAAGTGCAGAAAAGTAGCTACTGGTGAGTCCCTAGCCTGTGGACACCTGTCCACAGGCTGGGCCTTTTGCTGGGCCTGAGACACACCAGAAGGAAGCAAGGGCTTTCTTCTTGGGAGGCAGAGGGAGTAGCCCCTTGGGCTTTGTGCACATGGGGCCACATCACCACAACATTCTCCCGTAGGCCTGGTCCTCTTTCTTCTGATACATCATTCCAATTTCCTTTCAGATCTGTAAAGCTCACACCAAGCTTCTTTCTTCCTGTGCTTCAGTGGTTTAGCTGCCCCAACTGCAGACTCTAAGTGCACAGGACCCCCTTGCATAGTCTGTCTTTGCGCAGCCTCTGTTCTTTGGAGGGGGATGCATCCCTGATCTCTAGAGCAAGGGAATGCTGCCCTTCTTCTCTGCCACTTCCTCTGTCACCCAGTGAAAGGCACATCTCACTGTGCTACCATCTGTATTTCCCATTCCTTTTGTCATCATTCCCATGTTTCTTCCCAGCCCCAAATCTCCAGCTTTCCTCTGAATTTTCTGTTCTAGTTTTAGTGAATGCCATCTCTTGTGGTTCTCCTACTACAACCCTAGTTCTGGAAGTTCCTAGGATAGGCACCCCGGTCCCACCTTGCCCTTCCTAATCCTCTTCAAATAGTTTTCACAGATATCAGGAGTCATTTTGTCTTCTTCACAATATGCAACACCAGGAGAGTTGGGAGTCAGATGTTACTGTGCCCGTTTGACGGGAATCGGATAGGCTGAGTAGCTTGACTGAGGTTTTAGAACTAGTAAGGGCCAGAAGTAAAGCCTCTATCTCCTAAATCTTGGTCCAGCATTTCAACTTATACCCACCATCTGGCTTATAATGGGCAACCATCCTCTGAGGAAATGGTGGCTGACCTTGGACTTCTGTGCATTGCCTTGCAATATTGATCTTCCTGGATATTTCTGACAATAGCCTCTGAGGACTAGGAACTGAGCTAAGCCAAAGTGGGGTGGTTAGGACTAACTGTGTTATTGATTCATGCTGGCATTTCCTGAAGGCCTGAGATTCTCTCATGTAATTCTCTTATTCCTGAAAAAGAGCCCAGAAATGCAGGGGAGGAGATGGCACACACCCTCATATCCAGTGGGCTTTCGCCAAGTGTCTCTGAATTTCCAGGAATCAGAGGCAGGCTCAGCAGCAGGTGGTAGTTTAAGAGTTGTCAATCTGTAGAATGAAGGCCTCAAGTGCTGCCCCTTCCTTGGTTAAAGAAAAGTGCTGATTGTCAAACAGCATGATCAGCTAGAGGCGCAGAATGGTGCCACAGTGAGTGACAGTGACAACAGACCTCTGTCCTGACTGTCATCTGAGGATGCCCTTGGCTGTTCACATGTGAGTGTATCAATTGTGTGTGTCTGTAACAGAAGGGGACAAGAGCTAGAACAGATGTAGTTATGGCAACGCTGTACCTCCCACACACCTCCAGCAAAAATTAACTTCTATAATCCAGCTACAATGCCCTTTGGATCACCATCCCCTGAGTTCTAGAGCCTTAAATTTCTGGGAGGAGTTGAGCAGATTTCCTCCTGAAACAAACTATAATTCTACCTACCATCCTCGATCACTTGGCCAAAGAGAATATATTTGTTATCAGGTTTTTTTTTATTCCCCTCACTATACCTTCAAAGCAAACTACATATTTATGTGGGAAACTAGAAAAGACATTTCATCTCAAGTGAAAACTTGAATTTCCTAAGGCAAACAAATGGAAAGACTCACTCCTTACATTTGCATAGGATATTGGTCTTTGCCAAACCCAGGCTAGTCCTTTCCAACCTCCGCCTTCAAGGAGAACTCAGTGTGGGTGAAGCAACTTGGGGAGCCGGAGTGGAATGCTCTCATATTCCAGAGTCTTTGCTCATTCTACAGAATTACATATGTAAATGTCAATGGGATCCAGCCTGGACCAAACAGAGGCAAAGGAACACAGTGGATTTTCAGTTTTGGATGCTTTATTATCTAAAGTCAAAGGGAGGTTAAGAAAGCTGTTTTCACTAGGCCTATGGAAAGCTCCTGCCCTTTGTGCTAAGCTGTCAGATGTTCCAGGCGATAGGCCAGCGGGCTGTGTTTTATGTCCTGGCTTAACATTTCCGAGGCTGCTGAATAATGTAGATCCTCCTCTGTGGAGCGGCCTTCTCCAGGGCAGGTGTGGGTTTTTGATGTGCCATGTGCACTGTCGCTGGAAATTTATGATTGAGCTAAAGGTGAGAAAGGAAGAAAAAAAATAAGCATGTTGGATCTTTTTGGTCATAAAATATTAAAGCAATAGAAAGGAATACAGTCGGTCAGGGGAATGTCACATTTTTGTTTATTTCTTTGATAATACCTCTTTTTTTCCATGCCACTTCTGGCCTTGGTCCATGAAAGTATATGTTAACTTGGGTTTCTATTGTTAACTTGTCTTTTATTTTTCAAGTTTTGAAGCAACATTTTAAAAAGTAGAAATGGTGGCTCAGCGCCTATAGCTCAACCGGCTAAGGCGCCAGCCACGTACACCTAAGGTGGCGGGTTCGAATCCCCAGCCCGGACCCACCAAACAACAATGACGGCTGCAACCAAAAAATGGCCGGGCGTTGTGGCAGGCGCCTGTGGTCCCAGCTATTTGGGAGGCGGAGGCAGGAGACTCGCTTGAGCCCAGGAGTTGGAGGTTGCTGTGAGCTGTAATGCCACAACACTCTACCCAGGGGGACGGCTTGAGGCTCTGTCTCAAAAAAAAAAAAAAAAAAAGTAGAAATGGCTAATTTATCTGCATCAGCCCTCTGTAATATCAGCAGTTATTCTGGCACTAGTATATATATGGGATCACTATATTCTAAGAAGGCCATGGGGATTTTTGGAGTAAGTCCTGAGAGGAGCGAACCTTGAACTGTCAACAACAACAACAACAACAACAAAAAGAAAGAAAGAAAGAAAGAAAGAAAGAACGAACCTCTAAAAGAAGTTAGAAAGAGTTAGAGTTATTTAGTGGTTCCGAGTATGTGAAATTATTATTATTATTATTATTATTTTATTTTTTTGCAGTTTTTGGCTGGGGCTGGGTTTGAATCCCCCACCTCTGGCATATGGGGCCGATGCTTTACTCCTTTGAGCCACAGGTACCACCCAAAACTACTACTTTTTTTTTGAGACAGAGCCTCAAGCTATCCCCCTGGGTAGAGTGCCGTGGCATCACAGCTCACAGCAACCTCCAACTCCTGGGTGCAAGCGATTCTCCTGTCTCTGCCTCCCAAGTAGCTGGGACTACAGGCGCCTGCCACAACGCCCAGCTGTTTTTAGTTGCAGCCGTCATTGTTGTTTGGTGAGCCCGGGCTGGATTCGAACCCACCAGCTCAGGTGTATGTGGCTGGTGCCTTAGCCGCTTGAGCCACAGGTGCTGAGCCCGAAATTACTATTTTTATAGGTCAAAAAAGGTGTGATATGGGCTGTTCCATATAGTTCTAAATGGCATGGTGAAGGGAAGATTGCGGAATGACTTAGTGGCTTTAGGTAACAAAAGTTTTCATCTCCACAGAAGGCATCTATGAGGAAACAAGCTTACATAGATTTAAACTAACACAAACTGAGACTTTATGACAAAAAGAGAAATTTCATATGGGACTATGAGACCTTATGGAATTTACATTAAGGGTAGATCAAGACTCAGAGCATGGTCAGTGCTGCTGAACACTTCAGATCATATAGTTTTTCCAGGAGAAGAATTTGGACCCAGTGACCTCTTGAGTCCAGTCTAGTTCCTGATTTCCAAGCTCACTGTTACAGCATAAAGATAGCAAAGGACATCTTTAACCACCAGAAGCCAGGCCTCAGCTCACTAGGAATTTAACTTCATCACCCCTGAACTCAGACATCTTTGCCTTGATGCTCAAATTAAACAAAAGGGGAGATAAACTGTTCGTGACCCCAAGTGTCACATTGTTTATGGTTTGTTTGGGCTCTTCTAAGCCAGGGAAAACATATGTGGCTCACATTTCTTCTCAAATATCCCTGCCCATGCCCGAGGCACACAACTGTCCCTTTCATGTGAAACTGGACTCCAAAAAGTCCTTTCTTATTGGTCCTAAAATATTAAACACACTGGAAGAATATTCACTGAAGTGGTAGCAATGGCTGTCTCTGGGGAGCAGAATTATGGGCACTTCCTTCTCTTTGTCTTTGCCTTACTCATCAGTAGTTTTCTAATTTTTTTCTTTTACAATGAGCAGGTACAAGTTATAGTACAATCAAGGTCAAGGATGAATTCTGCTGCTATTCTAGCAGAATGGAAAAAACATAACCAGTATTTATCATAAATGTTGCTTCAGGATCTAAAAAAGAGCCAGTGACTTTTTTTTCAGATCCATTCTCATCAGACCACATGACATGCACAGGGTGGACAGGGCAGGGTGTTTTGTTTTGTTTTTCTTTTAATGTTAGAACCAGAAGAAAATGTAAGAGGTCACTGACTTTAGTAGTTTGCCTCCAGCCTGGGTATCTTTAGTCACAACTAAAACAGATGGATTATTTCAGGGTAGCGTTAAATCACATTGAAGAGACTGCAGGGGGGGAGATTTATTTGGCAAATTACTTCAGGTCAAATGTAAGGTAGAAGAGGGTGAGGAAGAAAATAAACAAATAACTCTGATAGGCTAGAAATCTAGGCAATTAGCCAAGGCAAGGGAGGGCAAGATGACAAGTTGGAACTGGGAGGGAGAAAGCCACACGTGGAGTGTGGCTCTGAGGCTGCAAGAGAGATGATGGGCGGAGGTGGGGAGGGGGCAGGAGAACAGGTGTTAGAGCACACTTACTGCTCATCGCCAGGGTGGTCTCTGTGCGTTAGGGGCTACCTTGTCTTGGTCCTTTTTAAAAATTATGGTAAAATATGCAAAACATAAAATTTGCCATTTGAACCATTTTTAAGTGTATGCCCAGTTCAGTGGTGCTAAGTTTACCCGCACTGTTGTACAACAGTCACCACCACCCATCTCCAGAAACTTTTCATCCTCCCAAACTGGAACTTGGTAACCATTGAATAATAACTCTCTGTCCCCTCCTCCTCCCAGTCCTTGGCCACCTCCACTCTGCCTTCTGTCTCTATGGATCTGACTACTCTACCTGATAGCAGTGGAATTACGCAACGTTTGGCCCTTTGTGTTGGGCTTATTTCACTTAGCATGATGTCTTCAAGGTTTATTAATGTGACACTATGTGTCAGAATTTCCTCCCCTTCTAAGGCTAAAACATATTTTGTTGTACGTATATACCGTGTTTTCTTTATCTGTTCGTCCATCAGTGAACACCTAGGCAGTTGTTTCCACCTTTTGGCTATTATGACTAACGCTGCTGTGAACACTGATGTACAAATATCTGTTTGAGTTTCTGTACCCAGAAGTGGAAAGGCTGGAGCATATGGCAGGTCTATGTTTAACTTTCTGAGGAAGCGCCATATTGTCTTCCACGGCAGCTGCCCCGTTTAGCAGTGCGCAGGGTTGAGGGGTTATATTTTAACTGAGGCATTTAGACTGTGTTCTGAAAGTGCAGCTCAACTATTTCTGGGGAGAGGAATGCCACAGGTTAGAATGACTGGGACACTGGGTCAGCCCCTGAGGCCTGTTGGCCATCTGTGAGTTGGTTGGGACATTTCAAGGGAAGAAAATAAAACCAACAGGATTAAGAAGGAAGTGGAAATAATCCTGGTAAAGATAACAGCCTTAGATAGACGGCCCACAACCAGTAAGCTGTAAGCGAATGCTTTGGGGGCACCCACAGCAGGGTTTTATAGCAACTCTTGAAAATACGATGACAGGAGAATGGAGTTCTCTTTCTCATATTCCTGCCTTTCAGTCAGGAGCATCCTGCCGTACAGGGGCTTGGGGTTGTGGGTGGAGAGTCTGCCAAGGGTCTGTCACCAGAAATGATGAAGCAGTAAATAAAATGGTCAACACTTAGATGCATGAATTCTTTGCTGTAGATTTTGATATCCATGAAGATAGGGAGATTGTATTTTCACGCCCAAACTAGAAACACCTAGAAATAGCTTTCCGGAGTATAATCTACAACCAGCTGTATTTTAGCCTGACATTTTAACTTTGGGGAAGCTGTGGAATGTTCATCATTAGTCTTTGTAAAGTGATAGTGTTTGCAGAAGGAAAGGTGTTTCTTGTCTGATTCATTAGGGTCAGAGAATCTAGGGTAACCTCCTGGGAAAAAAGAATTCAAGAGCAGTATGTGCATAAGGATTATGCGCTGGGGGCAAGATATTGAACTTGGAAACTAGATTAATAGAAACTCCCACATTGAGAATTTACCTTCATCTTGTGTAGCCATGACCTCAGAACTTATATTTTTAGTTTCAGAAAAAAAGCAAAAGAATTGTGGCAAAGGTCTTTATGACTGCAGCTGTGAAAGAAATTCTAGATGCAAGAAAATGAGCTGCAGGTTTTGTTTCCGAGCCTGGAGTTGGGTAGTATTCGCAGACTGGCAGCTCTTTCATTCATCTTTCCAGGGTGTTAACTTTCAACTCCAATGTTGGCACTTAAATTTCCACACCCTGTTAAGCAAAGTGCTTAAAACAAAACATTCCACTTCTGTCAATGAAATTCAAGGATAGTCCTACAGTGATATTAATCTACAGAACAAGAGAAGCCTTTTAAAATTTGCAGATGCCTTTGATGGTTTTCTCTCCCTCGGGCTCACCTTTCACTTACATCTCACTGATTTTGCCAGTGGTGACCCACAATCTGGTAGCTTGAAAAAAGCGGCCCTAACTTTAAGCAGGCTTCAACATCCCACCACCACCCTCTGCCCCATAACCCAGCCCCATTACTAATGTTTTAATTGGATACTTTTATGTTCTGAGAAGCTTCACAACTATTGCCAAATTTAACTTCCACGACTGTCCAGAGAATTAACATGTTTGGCAGTATCATTCTCTTTCACTCTCTGCCTTAGTTTGTTTTTAGACTTAAGTGAATGAACAACCACAAATCCCAGAGTAGCTACGTGACATCTTGAAGGTCAAATAACCTCTAAGTAGTGGGTGGAACTTGCTGTAAGAGTAGGTCGCCCAGATTTTTAGCCTAGAGAGCTTTCAGGTTACATAATCTGTTTTCTGCAGGAATGCCATGTCATGTTGGCCTCAGGGAAGCATAAGTTTTCTTATTATTTAGGGCTTCAAGAGGTGGGGAGGGCTGGCTGAAGAGTTAGGGAGGGGAGGAGGAATGGGGGTGGTGAGAGAAAGAAGTCTACCTGAAGGGGGGAGGTGAGAAAATGCTTCCTACTTAGATTTGTATAATTCCAAGTCTTTGGGGGTTGTCTTCAGTCTCCCAAATCTTAACCCTCTGTTGGTTTTAAAGTAGGGTATCCATAGAGGAACAGCATACAGAGAGAAATTTCTGCTGCGATTGAGAGGTTGAGGAGATGGGGCAGATAAGAGTTTAGACTCTTAAGTTCTTAAAACAGGTATGAGAAATAACATGGTTCTTGGGGGGTAGATATAATTGTAGCTAAGGGTGTAAAGAAATGTTATTCGATGTGGAGATATGGCCCTAGATTCTACTACTGCACTTCTCCTGACCAATTGTATAGTGTTAAGTTTCTATGACAGTGTATAGTGTGGGGAGAATCATTGTAATGCAGGAAGAATGTACCCAAAGATATTTATATCTGTTTCTCTAAATCTCTTATATATCTTTGCATTTTTTGAATCCGTCTATATAATTTACGCAGCATTGTTTTTCATTTTTAAAAATCAAAGTATAGAGGCAGCGCCTGTGGCTCAGTGAGTAGGGTGCCAGCACCATATACCAAGGGTTGCAGGTTCGAATCCAGCCCCAGCCAAACTGCAAGAAAAAATAGCCAGACGTTGTGGCAGGGGCCTGTAGTCCCAGCTACTTGGGAGGCTGAGGCAAGAGGATCACTTAAGCCCAAGAGCTGGAGGTTGCTGTGAACTGTGATGCCACGGCATTCTATCTAGGATGACTAAGTGAGACTCTGTCTCTAAAAAAAACCTAAATAAATAAAAAAATAAAAAATAAAAATCAAAGTATAGGGTGGCACCTGTAGCTCAGTGGGTAGGGCGCTGGCCCCATATACCGAGGGTGGCAGGTTCAAGCCTGGCCCGGGCTGAACTGCAACCAAAAAATTGCCAGGCATTGTGGTGGGCGCCTGTAGTCCCAGCTATTTGGGAGGCTGAGGCAAGAGAATCACTTAAGCCCAGGAGTTGAAGGTTGCTGTGAGCTGTGTGACGCCATGGCACTCTACCAAGGGTGATAAAGTGAGACTCTGTCTCTACAAAAAATTAAAAATTAAAAAAAAAAAAGTATAATTTACCTACTATAAAATTTACCCTTTGTAGCATACTGCTTTTTGAGTTTTGACAAGTGCATACCATCTGTGACTACCACCATGATCAAAACATAGAACTGCCCCATCATTCCCTCAAATTCCCTCCCGTCATTTTGTGATCACCCCCTCCTTATATTCCCTGCTCCTGACAACCACTGATCTCAGCACACATCTAAGTGGTCAGCAGAGCTCAAACCCAGGTTGACTTTTTAAATTTAATTTTATTTTTTGAGACAGAGTCTCAGTATTTTGCCCTCAGTAGAGTGGTATCACAGATCACAGCAACCTCAAGCTCTTGGACTTATGTGATTTTCTTGTCTCAGCCTCCCAAGTAACTGGGACTACAGGTGCAGATGACTTTTATTATGAAATCCTACTACATTTCGTTGAATTATGGATTCAGGGAAGATTTTTCTTAGTGGTAGGGAAACACAGAGATCCCAACAATGTTCATATTTGAGATAGTCACTTAATTTTGGGATGTATTTTTATTGCTTGTTCCTTATCCATGCCTGGGATTAGAAGCTAAAATTACTGTATTAAGAGTTTTGCTAATATTATTAATATAACTTCATTTAATTCTCATTGTATCCCTGTGAAGTAGAACTAGTAATCACATCCTCCTTTGCAGATGTGGTAAGTGAAGAAACCTGCCCAAGGAGACACGGCTAGTGAATGACAGAGCCAGCAAAGGAATCAGGCAGTTGATGCTGATGCCAGGTCCTACCAGTATCTGTGTAGCTTAAGCCAAAGCCCTACTCCAGTAGAAGTGGAGTGTTAAAAGTATTCCATTTATTCATTCATTCATTTTTTTGAGACAAAGCCCAGGCTAGAGTGCTGTAGCATCATAGCTCACAGCAAACTCCAATTCCTGGGTTCAGGTGATTCTCCCTTCTCAGCCTCCTGAGTAGCTGGGACTACAGGTACCATAATACCTGCCTAATTTTTCTATTTTTAGTAGAGACAGAGTCTCACTCTTGTTCAAGCTGGTCTTGAATTCCTGAGCTCAAGTGATCCACCTGTCTTGGCCTCCTGGAGTGTTAGGATTATAGGCATGAGCCTATACCTGGCCCTAAAAATTTTTTTTTTCCTAAAGGCAAAAGATTTATAGGATCTGAAGAGAAAAACCAGAATATAAAAGTATTTTTTAAAAAATAGTACAATTGCTGCTAAAAGTATTTCTAACAGCACACCATCTTAATGTTTTCTGATGGTTTCCAAATACAACTTACTATTACTGTTTGTTTATTATTAATGCTTTCTATCTGAAATAAAGAAGAGGTATTTTTAAAATAGAAAGAGAAAGAACCCTCTGCACGTATGTCTACAAAACAGTGTGCGGACTCTGGCACCAGACCTGATCCGCAGCTGTACAGCACGGTCAGTCTTTATTGATGATTCCTTTTGAGCGTTTTGTTTGGAGTAAACACATAGCCTAGGGGAGCACATCTATTCTATCCAGTTACACTGAAAATTGTGGGTATTTTCTTGCCCCAAGGAACAGATGTTTAGTGACAGAAGCACCAGTGCATGAGATGCAGGAGTGGATGGCTTGTGTTACCCTGGTGGTGTATCACCCACCAGCCCTGCCTCTGAAGCCAGGAAGGCAGAGAGTCATTTATGACCTCACCCCAGATCTATCTGAGTGGGAGAACCAAGTCCTCCACAATAACAGGCTCTGTGGGGGTAGCTCAGCATCAAGACCTCGCCTCAGTGCAGTCTGCCCTATGACGTCAGGGACTTTAGATACACCTTTTCACTGCCACAAAACCCATGTTACTAACCCTCACAGTGCATTCCTTTTCCTCAGATGAGGAAGCCAAGGCACAGGAAAAGTCACTTGCCTAAGGTCATACAGATAGTGGGTGCTGGAGCTAGTGCCACCTAGGGACCTAGAGGCCAGCTGCACAGTTTCTGCTTGAATCTTTTTCAAAGGGCCTAATGGTCCTCAGGCCATTATTTTGCAAGTAACAGTAAATCTTTCTTCCACAGAGGATGCTTAGTCCTATCTCTTCAATAAATGTGGGAATAGCAGAAAGAGTGGTGCTTTATTACCCTGAATATAATGTACCTACCTACTAAAAATAGAAAAAGGGCCCTCACTCAGCTTACCTATAAAATTTAAACACAAACTATTGAATCCAAAAAATCAAACCACTGTCTACTTGTCAGGAGTTTTCTTTCTTCTTCTTTTTTTTTATAAAAGGGATCTTGCACTGTTGCCCAGGCTAGAATGTGGTGGTAACATCACAGCTCACTGTAGCCACAAACTGCTAGGTTCAATCAGTTCTTTTGCCTTAGCCTCCCAAGTAGCTGGGACTATAGGATTTACCACCATATCCAGCTAATTTTTAGTTCTTTTTTTGTAGAGATGGGTGCCTCACTATTTTGCCCAGGCTTTTTGGACTCCTTGCCTCAAGGGATGCTCCTACCTTTGCCTCCCAAAGTGCTGGGATTACAGGTGTGAACCATCATGCTCAGCCTGGGTGAGAGTTTTCTGAGTTTCTTGAGCTACTTTGAAGAAATTCAGGATATAGAAGTAAAAATAGCAATGGCTAACTATCTTTAGAAACAGACTTCACTGGATTAACCCAGCTGGCGCCCAGTCTTCCTCCAGCCCTAAACTGTACAATTCTCCACACTACCTTTGCCTCAAATCAAATATCTCCTTTTGGGAACACTGAAGCAGGGGGAAGGTCAGAAACTTGAATTCCCACTACACAAGCTGCCTTTTGTGAAAACACACCAACGTGTCTGGAAAATCTTTGGGATGGCAAAGTAAAGTTCTGCAAATTCAGCATCATGATTCTCACTTTATTGCCTATCTTATTTTTAGAATGGTTTATTAAATGGACACTTTAGGAATTTGGGAGAAACAGCTTTTCTCACCTAAACCACAGATTCTTTCACAAGGACCTCAAACCCCTGGGTTGGAAAAAACCTCAGTGGTCATCTGTTTATTTGCCTGGGCAGCCTGGTGCGCTGGGTAAATATGGACTTGGAGCTGGGTGGGGGCCTCACACTTGTAATCCTAGCACTCTGGGAGACTGAGGCAGGTGGATTGCCTGAGCTCACAGGTTCAAGACCAGCCTGAGCCAGAGTGAGACCTTGTCTCTTAAAAAAACCCATCTGGGCGTTGTGGTGGGCGTCTGTGATTCCAGCTACTTGGGAGGTTGAGGCAAGAGAATTGCTTAAGCTCAAGAGTTTGAGGTTGCTGTGAGCTGTGATGCTATAGCACTCTACAGAGGGTGACAAAGTAAAATTCTGTCTCAAAAAAAAAAAATTACCGACTTGGAGCATCATGTGATCTGCCTCACCCACAGCTTACCTTCTCCACTGGGTCATTCAGGGCATCCAGCATCTGTATTTTGGCAACATTTGCAATGACACTGCGAAGATGAAAAGAAACTTCACACAGAGCTTAAAAACTTTCCCACTAAAGGGGCTAAATGATTTATACAGAGGTCTGTCTCCTTGACCTTTAAGCTTTCACTCTGCTTGGCAATATCTAGATGATAAAAACTCTGCCACCACGTACCCATAGGCTACATACAACAAGCTCTGTAGGCCAAGTTATTATTTTTAACTTTTCACTGACTATTTTATATATATATAAAATGTACATATTATAAGTGTATAGCTTGGTGAAATAAATGAAGCTACTAGTCAAACCAGCTGCCCCTCAGGATAACCACTACTCTAACTTACAGCCCCATAGATTAGTTTTTACTGCTCTTGTCCTTCATAAATTGAAGCATCTACAGCATGTACTCTTTTGGGTCTGGCTTCTTTCTCTCAGGCCAAGTTATTTTGTAGGAGTGTTTCAATCAGGGCCAAGCCTGCAGTACAACGTCTTGAAGGAATTTCTGCACTTGGCATATTTTTTCCTACCGGTTAGTAGAAGTTATTAGGAAGTAGACAGAGATGGATGATGTTTAGAAATTTAGTTCAGATGATATATTTTTAAAGTGCTGTTTTCCAAGAAGATTGTCCAGAAAAATGAGGCCATCCTAGCTCATGGACATGCCCTTGTAGCCCACGGATAGACCCTCTTAGGAGATGAAAACAGCAGAGGGGAAGGAAAGCAGAGATAATGGAGATGAAGCCTGGGCGTCTCTTACCGTGTCAGATCTCACAAGGCCCTGGGAGGAGCCTTAGCCATTTTCTAGTGGTGATTTTTGCTTATTTTTCTTTAAAATGTCTCCCAAATTCTATAAGCTTCAAGCCCCACATAAGCTGTATTTGTCCCTGGTAATTAGGGCAAGGGAGGCAGCACTGTCTCTTGTTTAAATTCTTTAGTTCAGTTCCCATCTTTTAATAACTATTAGAAAGCAAGTGAGTTTTTAAAGAGGGTTCCAGTCACATCTTTATTGTTCTCTGGCCAACTCCTCTGCCCCCATTGCTCAGATGGTATTAGGATTAATAGTAAGTCCCTATTTTTCTTACATGCAGAGAAATGAATGATCTGACCACCCATTAGAAGTCATTTCTATGGCAAGATTTTTTAGTTCCTGAGCCCCTGGCTCAGGCGTATTAGCCAGTGCACCATAAATAGGGCTCATATTTGAATCGAGTTTTAGCAACAGAATAAGCTCTCAAAAATTAATCAGCTCTCAATTCAACAACAGTCTGATATCATTTACAGAGTGCATTCACTATTCAAGGAACTGTCCTAGATGCTGGGTCAGAAGATAAATAATGCGTGACCTCCATTCCTGAGGACTTGCAGCTTGGTTTTCATCATGTGATGGTTATTTTCTGATATCAGAAAAAAACCAATGGCTTGCCGCTAATGAGGGAAATCAGTATTTCAAAGTGGAGAGGGGAAAATCCTCAAAAAAATTCCTTCCCAGAAATTGCAAAGAAAATTTTCAAAGTGAAAATTTAAAAATAAGTTTGCATAAAAGAGTAAAAGAAATTGCATAGTCTGTTTCCCTCCACATTCTCTTTCTGAGACTGGTGTCATTTAACCTGAAGGAGGTGCCTTGAGCATCCTCAGATGGACTCCTTTTGATGCACTCAGCAGATGATTTATGGAAACCATCTGAAAATTAATAGTCTCTAAAGTGCTCTTCAATCGTGCTACTTACAGGAACCAGTTCTGCATGTTTCTTTCTTTTTAAAATGCACTTGTTTTGCTTAACCAAGGTTTAGAGCTGTAGGGCCATTTGGGTGTCTGATGCAGCCCACAGCTCTCTGCTGAGCTGGGAATAGCGCAGTGCAGTCAAGGTTATGGCTGAAGGAGCTGGGAAGAGCCTGCCTCAGTCTCTACGTGCCTTCTGGCTATGCCAAATATAGTGGCCATTAGTTTCTAAATAATTGAGTGATGAACTTAAAACAAAAAAAGGCATTTATTTTTAATTCAGGAGATTTGCTTCAGCAGAAAGCATATTGTGAGAACAAGGCCAGTCTAAGGACAGCATCTTAAAGGCTGATCTGAAAATAGGATGTGCGTCAGGTGGGTGCTTTTAGGACCAGGTCTTTTACGTACAAAGCCACTGGGCTGGAAACAGGAGAAGGATGGGTAGAGGTCAGGATGGGGGCCCAGAAAGGGCCCTCCCCCATGGCAGTCACCTACGCCTCCCCTCCACCCAAGTCACCACACATTGTGACCCTACCCCACCCTGGCTGGCTGCCTCCAAACGCACAGGAAGCCTGTCCTAACATAACTGCTGGAAGTGTAGTCATTCAAAACTCCTCAAGGTGATGAAGAAAAAATTAAGTAGTCCCTACCTTGTTTTCTCTAACGCTGGTTTTTTGGTATGTCTCTCCAAGATGCCGATTTCTTGTTTTTTGGAAATTCTCATTCCTCCAGCTTTTACTATAAACAAATAAGCATCAATATGGAAGTGAGAACAGTGAGAGAAGCCTTGCTTTGTTATTCCAGGTATGAATTTAGATTTGAAAAGAATTTTTGAACATATTTTTTAATGATCTAAACTTCTCTCTAAAATAACACAAAAAGTAAAAGCTCTGGGGGGGGCATATAAGGTAGGTAGAAGAAAGGCTGAGATCTACTTGTTTATGCTCAGAGAGGTAGAACCGAGGCTGAAAAAGCAGCAGAAGGTGACGCCTTAGATTTGGGGAGAATAACAACATACTCCCTTAGGCATTTCACTGCAGAACATTTTTTCTTATTATCAAACCAATTACGTTCTTCATGATAGCAACCAACAATTACAATGTGACCCTCTGTTTTCCCACAAGATTAAAGCTTATGTATGGCTTGCATTTTTCTTTTTTCAACCAAAGCTTTTAAAAGCCAGATTCTGAGAGATGAGCCAAAAGTCAGAGCATGCAGTGATAGCAGGCATTTAATTCAACAGAGGTGGTTCTGATTGCACCGGTTAGCCACCCTCCATCCCAGACCCCAAACCTCTGGTGTTGGCCAAACCCGGATGTTCTAATGAGTAATTAAACTGCATTAATAATCCTGTCATTCAAGAGATCAATTAGTGTTAATTAGGCTACAGATGACCTAACAGCAATTCGAGTGTTGAACAATGTCAGATGAAATCAACTTTTGAAAAGGAACAACCCATTTCAGATAGCAAGTCAAAGCAAATACTTTTTTCTGTTCCCAGGAAATTTGCACATCTAAAATCTGACAAGCTCCAATGAGAACAAGCTAAATGGACATTGATTTGTTTGAACCTGTTAATTCTTTTTATGAAAATGCCAGATTGGCAATTTTCTAAAACTGTGTTCCAATAAAGGGAAAAATAAAGAGATCCTATTCTATTTCTCAATCTTCTTGTGAATTGCCTTTGTATAGTTATTTAAAAGTTATTACTTGGCATTTTTTTGTTATGTAATGCCTACGTAAGGCACAACATTCAAAAGGCACCTTCCAGATTATCTCCCCAGATACTGCTAGTGTTATGATTCCTATGTCTCCATCCAGTATTCCATACATACACTTAGGTAGTATTTTTTTATGGTAGTATAGAATACACATTACATTGTTTGTTTATTTTTTTCACTTAGTCATGTATTTTGGAAAAGTTCCATATCTGTATCTATATCTGTGTCTTTCTTTTTAACATCTGCTTTAGATTTGGGTCATATGAACATCCCATGTTCACTTAACCTGTTCCCTGATGTTGGCGATTTCAGATGTTTCTAATCCATTGCTATCACAAACATGTCGTAGTGAAATCTGTTTATATATATAAATTTGTACAAGTAAAACTACATCCGTGGGGTAAATTCCTAACTGTGATCTCATTGGTTCTTAAGACTGTGTACATTTGGAATTTTGTTAAATCTTGCCAAATTGCTCTTCAGAGAGGTTGAACAAGTTTACACTCTGACCAGGCAGGATGACAGTGACCATTTCCCGATACCCTGGCAACAACTGAGCTAGGATCATTTGGTTTTGCCAACCAATAAGTGAAAAAAATAAAAATAAATGAAGATATCTCATTATTATTATTTTTTTTTCCTGAACACTTTATTGTTGGGGATTCATTGAGGGTACAAGATGTGTCACATACTGAGACCCCAACCCCCTCCCTCCTCTCTCTCTCTGCTCTCCCCTTTCCCGCCCCCCCACTGTGTCATGAATTGTCAATTAATTGTCATCAAATCAAGATTGAATACATAGGATTCATACTTCTCCATTCTTGTGATGCTTTACTAAGAATAATGTGTTCCACTTCTATCCAAGTTAATATAAATACTGTAAAGTCTCCATCTTTTTTTAATGGCTGAATAGTATTCCATGGTATACATATACCACAGCTTGTTAATCCATTCCTGGGTTGGAATATATATCATCACAGATGGACTATAAAATTACATCATTAATAATGTGGAAACAGCCTAATGCCCCCAACCCAAGGGGCATTTGGAACTCAAGGAACTAAAAAATCTTGCCTTGGAAATGCCCCTTGGGTTGGGGGCATTTAGGCTGTTTCCACATTTTGGCAATTATACATTGAGCTGCGATAAACAGTCTAGTTCAAGTATCCTTATGATAAAAGTTTTTTTTTTCCTTCTGAATAGATGCCTAATAATGGGATTGCAGGATCAAACAGGAGGTCTAGATTGAGTTCTTTGATGTTTCTCAGGCATCTCATTGTTTTAATTTGTATTTCTCATTTTTTATTTAAACTTAAGCTTATTTTGTGCTTTAGAAGCTATTTGTATTTTCTTGTCCATTAGCTGTTCAAATCCTTTGTCCTTTTTGTTTCTGTTGATTGCTAGTCTTTCCTATCTTTTTCTTATTGATTTATAGGAGCTCTTTGTCTATGAGATACATTGCAAATATATTTTTTTGTACCAGTTGCTGCTTTGGACGTTATGGGTATGCAGAAATGTGCTGCTTTCATGTGACCTTATCAATCTCTTACGGGTTTTGTGTCACTAAGGAAATCTGATGTTTTATGAACACCACTCCATGTTTTCTTGTAGGACTTTAATAATGTAATTTTATAGTCCATTTTTGATGACATATTTAGATCCTAGATCCTTCTAGAATGCATTTTGTGAAGTCACGTGGAGAGATACAAGATTTTTTTCAAATGATCTCAAGAAAATTGAAAAATCCATCTTTTCAGCTGGTGGCATAGTTCATGCCCACTAACTCCAGTGCTTTGGAAGACCAAGGGAGGAGGATTGCTTGGGATCAGGAGTTTGAGACCAGCCTGGGCAACATAGAGAAATCCTGTTTCTACATAATACAAAAATTAGCTGGGTCCTGTGGCATGTGCCTATAGTCCCAGTTACTTGGGAGGCTGAGGCAGAAGGAATATTTGAGCCCAGGAGTTCAAGGTTACAGTGAGCTATATCACACACCACTGCCCTCCAGCCTGGGCAACAGAATGAGACCCTATCTCTGAGAAAAAAAAATTCATCTTTTCTTTATTAATTTGAAATGCCCCTCTATGGTACATATAAATGTATGTGCATATGTCTATGTAAATATATACATATATATTTGGTAATACTTCTGGACTATTCCATCAATCTGACAGTTCTTATGCTATTATAACATTATTTTAATTGTTGATAATATAGTTTAATATCTCCCTTATTATATTTCCTTTGCAGAATTTAAACTAGTAAGATTATTTTTAGTTTTCTACGTAAACTTTAATTTCTATTTCAAAATATTAAGGGGGTACAAGGTTTTTGTTACATGGATAGTTTTATAATGCTGTAGTCAGAGCTATAAGTGTGCCCACCACCCAGATAGTGCTCATCGTACCTGTTCTCCCTTCCCACATGAACTTCAGGATCAGTTTGTCCATTTCCTCTTTAAAATCTTGTTGGTACATTTTTTAATGCACTTGCCATAAAATTTATAGTTTTGTTTTTTTTTTTT